GAGAGAGAGAGAGCGAGAGAGAGAGACAGAGAGAGAGAGAGAGCGAGAGAGAGAGACAGAGAGAGAGAGAGAGAGAGAGAGAGAGAGAGAGAGAGAGAGAGACAGACAGACAGACAGACAGACAGATAGACAGAGAACCAGAGAGACAGAGACAGACAGAGACAGAGGCAGAGACAGAGAGCGAGAGACAGAGACAGAGATAAAAGACACGAACGAACGAAAAATTGGAACAGGAAATCAGGCAAAACGAAATTACAAGGAAGACCTCTCCACGGCGAGCCCACTGACCAGCAGCAGAGGCAGAAGCAGTACAGCAGCATCTGAGCGTGCCCACGTTATACTCCCGCCTGCTATTATCCCCCGCCCCCCCTTTTCCTTCTCCCCCCCCCCTTCTCCTTCTCTCCTCCTCCCACCTCCTTCTCCTTCTCTCCTCCTCCCTCCTCTTCTCATTCTCTTCTCCTCCCTCCTCTTCTCATTCTCTTCTCCTCCCTCCTCTTCTCATTCTCTTCTCCTCCTCCCTTTCTCCTTCTTCTTCTTCTCTCCTCCCTCCTCTTCTCATTCTCCTCTCTGCCCCCATTCTCCTTCTCCTTCTCCTCTCTTTCCCTTCTCATTCTCTTCTCATCCTCCCTCCCCTTCTCCTTCTCCTTCTCCTCTCCTCCATCTTGGCTTCTTCCCCGTCTCCTCTCCTAATTCCTATCTTCCTTAGTTCTTTTATCCATCTCTTCTCTTTCTTTCTATTTTACTTAGTCATTTCTTCGTCTCCTCTCCTCTTTCTTATCTTCCTAAGTTCTCTTTTAGTCTCCTCTCCTCCTCCTCCTCTTCCCTGTCTTTCTTAGTCCGTTCCACTCTCCCTTCGTTTTCTCACCCCCCTTCCCTTCCCCTCTTCCCTCTTTCTCTCTCTCTCTCCCTCCCTTTCTCTCTCTCTCTCTCATCTCCTCGGTCTCCTCATCGTCTCTCATTCTCTTCTCTCGTCTCTCTCTCTCGCTCTCGTCTCTCCGATCTCTCATCCTCTCTCTCTCTCGCTCCTCCACTTCACACGACCCTAGTGCCTGCGGGACAAAACTAAGAGAGAGAGTGTCAGGAGGAGGAATGAGGGGAGAAGGAGAGAGAAGAATCAGGATATGAAAGGTAGGAAGGATAGATTAAAGGAAGGGAGGGAGGGAGAATAAGATATTATAGAGGAGCGCGACGACGAATATTATATCTTATATATCTATATCTCTATTACTCTATCATATATAATATCTATAGATATCTATATATATACATATCCTCATATATATCTATATCATATTATCTATATATATATCTTCTCCTCTAATCTATATATCTAGCGAAAGGCGAGAGAGAGCGAGTAGGAGAGAGAGAGAGAGAGAGCTTTTGACTTCAGATTGTGGTGTGTGTGTGTATGTGTGTAGAGAGAGCGAGAAGAGAGAGAGCGAGAGAGAGAGAGACCCACCTCTACATCATCTGTCTTTCTCTTATTGTCTATCTGTTTCCCTGTTTCTCTCTCCCCCTCCCCCCTCTCTCTCTCCTCTCTCTCTCTCTCTCTCTCTCTCTGTTTGTGTGCGAGTGTGTATGTGTGTCTGTACGTATATGTGTGTGTGTAGAAAAAAAGAATGATATATCAAAGCTTAAGCGCAATGCAATTAACTCTGATAACAGTTATAAATCTAACGAAATGGACACTAATATAAATCGTTATAAATAGATTATTTTAGAATTACACAGATAAACATTGATTATATAGACACGCACACAGTCAAGAACATGAATACACACGTACAATCACACGCATACACACATAAACTTATAGACCTATATACACGCTAACGCACACACACGCACACAAACACACATATATATATTTGTCTATGTGTGTGTGTATGTATGTGTGTGTATTTGTGTGTGTATGTACGTATGTATCTATTCATACATACAAGCAAATTCCCTTTTATCGCCCTTTTCTTCTGATCTCTTTCTCTCTCTCTCTCTGTCTCTCCTTCTCTCTCTCTCTCTCTCTTTTCCTCCCTCTCTCTCTCTCTCTCTCTCTCTCTCTTCCTCCCTCTCCCCCCACCTCTCCTTTTCTCCCTCCCTCCCTCTCTCTCTCTCTCCCCACCACTTCTCCGTCTCTCTCTCAATCTCCCTTTTTTATTCGCTGCGGTCCATCCCTGGGGTAACTAATGGACCAAAGTGACCCGCCCACGCCCAAAGCAGGGTTGTGGAGACCGATGGGCGGAGGTGTGGGGTAGGAGGGTGTGGGTGGGAGTGGGAGGGGGTGGGGTTAAAGCTTGACCACTGCTTCTATCATCAACGGTTATATCAATTATATTTTTTTTTACTTTTCTTTCGTCTTTTTTTTTTTTTTTTTTTACTTCATGGTCTGTGGTGATTTTTCTTTTTTTTCCATCTTTTGGCTGAGGTTGAAATATGTTTCTGATATTCTTTTCTTTTTTTTTTTGGGGGGGTGGGTGGGGGGTGAGGAGGGGGGGGGGGTGAAGGAGCCTAAGTATTCCTGTTGGATTTTACGCGTTTCTCAAAAAAAAAAAAAAAAAAAAAAAAATCGCTCTTATTTTTTCTTTTTTATTTTTTTTCCCATTCAAGGAACCTTCTACAGATCGAATTTCCACGTGCCATTCCATTCCGAGTGAAAGAAAAAAGAAAAAAGAAGAAAAAAAAAAAAAGGGAAAGAAAGAAAGAAAAAAAAAAAAAAGAGAAAAAAAAATACCCTGCCTCTAGCCAAAGGGACGACGCTATCTTTCACGACCCTCATTTTCCCCTCAAGGAGAAACTAGACTCTGTGGTTCATTCTTTGGAAGACCGTAATAGCGAGGAAGTTATCGCATAGCTTTGAGTTATTGTCCTTCTTTTTCTTTCTCTGTCTCTGTGTCTGACTCTGTTTCTCTCTCTCTCTCTCTTTCTCTCTCTCTGTCTCTATCTCTGCCTTTAGTTCTGTCTGTCTCTTTCTCTCTTCCTCTGTCTATCTGTCTGTCTGTCTCTCTTTCTCTGTCTGTGTGTCTGTTTGTCTGTCTCTGTCTCTCTGTCTCTCTCTCTGTCACTCTCTCTCTCTTTCTCTCTCTCTCTCTCTCTCTCTCTCTCTCTATATATATATATATATATATATATATATATATATATATATATATATATGTATATACATATATATATATATATATATATATATATATATATATATATATATATATATATATATATATATATATATATATATATATATATATCTTTTCCCACCCATCCACAATCTCTCTCCTTTTCTTCTTTTTTCTCTCCCCCCCCTCCAACTATTCTCTATCATGACCGATTTGTCCCAGAATCAACGAATTCCTGATTATCCCATCTTCGGGGCACGTTACCCGAGCATTCCTGGGTTGTATACATGATCAAAATAGTCCTTAATGGAAAATGAAATCATTCTTAAGTGGGGAAAATCATGTGTTAATGTTGCGTGCTTAAATTGTTTATCACTTCTTTTCCGTTTCTTTTCTTCTCTCTCTTTATTCATAATTTTCTCTTTTTCCATCGTGATTTTTTTTTCTCGGTTGATATTACAACTACTTGTGTTGGTATGATTGACTCCACGGCTTTTGGTTTTCTCTTTTGTTTCTCCGCGTTTAAACTCATGTTCTACGCGTTTAAACTCATGTTCTATATACCTGTGCATAAATATATACTTTTTTTTCTTCTTTTTTTTTTCCTTTCTCATTACCAGGTTCGTGCACCTCCAGCAAACCGTTGCCGTCATGCACACGTGGGTCAAGTGGCCACGTCCGACCTCTGAGCTTGTGAGACCACGAAGCCGTCGTCACGCAGCATGTGTGTGTGTATGTGTGTGAGTGTGTTGCAACGCCGCCGCTAAGCAAAGGCAAAATCAGCATTTATATTCATAGCTAAACAAGCCCTCGACCTGGTCACGGAGAGGGCCGAAGAGACTACGCGGCTGACGGTCCCAGCTGTTTGTGATTTCCTTTTTAGCAACGCCATCTGTTGATTGAACATTGCTCTCCGGAGTGACCCGACAAATGCCATCTGTTGATTGAGCGTTGTACTAAGAATGACGCAATTAACTCTCGGGGTCATAAACGAGGTCCGGCCGACGCTCACCTTACCGAAGCCCACTGAAATAAACTGTACCCTGTAACCACCATATGGCGTCCGTAATCTAGCGTGTGGTCAGTACGCCAGCGCCATCTATGAGTCGAATTCACAGGACGATCGAATCAAGGAGTTGAGAAATCAGGTTCGCCCGCGCGCCTCCTAATACGTTCCCAGAGCCAACGAGGAGCCCAGAGCATTATCCCAATGATATAAGGACACGGTGACGACCCTAATTACGACTTGGGCAAGGGATGAGGAGCTACTAAATAATGGCTTCTCGAAGTACGACCGGCGTGATCAGTAGCCCTGGCCTAATGCACGGCTACATGGCCATCCATATTCTCTTCCCAAGCTCCGGTGCTAATGAAGTGTTCTGGCCTGGAAGTCCATCCCTGTTAAAGTGTTTCTCAGCCGAATACGGACCGCTTCGGCTGCCGGTTCTCTCTCTCTCTCGCCCGCGGTTCGACCGGTCAGCGCTAGAGGAGGAAGGATGAAACTTTATATAATTTTTAAAAAAGATACTTGTACTCGTCTTGCCTTTCTTTTTGTTCTTTTAATTTACGATTGTCTTTTCTTTTTTTTTCCTTACGAATGTTTATTAACATTATTATTATCATTTCCTTTTCAGGTGATTTTGACTTAGATGTGTGTGTGTATGAGAGAAAGAGAGAGAGAGAGAGAGAGAGAGAGAGAGAGAGAGAGAGAGAGAGAGAGAGAGAGAGAGCCCACTAACACAACACAAATTTCCACTCACACACTCACAGCCCGTGGGAAGTTGACAGTCTCTCTCTCTCTTTTTCTCTCTTTGTTTCTCTCTCTCTCTCTCTCTCTCTCTCTTTCTCTCACATTAGCCCTCTGGAATGTGGAGGAAGATGAACAAATAG